TATAATGTGAAAATAACTATGTTGTTTTAAACGGATGTAGTGACTTTCACAGAGCTCAGGAGTTCAGCAGTCTTACAGCCTGTGGGATAAAACTGTCCCTGAGTCTTGWGGTCTTGGKCCGGATGCTGCGGTACCGTCTGCCAGACGGCAGCAGAGAGAAGAGTTTGTTGCTGGGGTGATGGGGGTCTTTCAGTATCCTGTAAGCCTTCTTTCTACAATGCTGGGTGTAGAGGTCCTCCATGGATGGTAGCTCCRTCCTGGTGATGTGCTGAGCAGTTTTAGCCCCCCTCTGTAGAGTCTTATGGTTGAGGGCGGTGCAACTGCCATACCAGGCCGTGATGCAGCCGGTCAGGATACTCTCGATGGTGCATCTGTAGAAGTTGCAGAGTATCCTGGAGTCCATGTTGAACCTCCGCAGCCTGCGGAGGAAGAAGAGCCGCTGACGAGCTGTCTTAGTGATAACTATGGTGTGATGAGTCCATGTCAGGTCCTCAGTGATGTGAACCCAGAGGAACCTGAAGCTGCTGACTCTCTCCACAGGAGTCCCGTCGATGGTGATGGGGGCGTGTCCGTCTCTCTGCTTCTTCCTGTAATCCACAATCAGCTCCTTGGTTTTGCTGACGTTGAGATGGAGGTTGTTGTCCTGTCACCAAGATGTCAGGGCTCTGACCTCCTCTCTGTAGGCCGTCTCGTCGCCGTCTGTGATCAGGCCGATGACGGTGGTGTCGGTTGGAGGATGTGATGTTCCCCATCCTCACTGCCTGGCGTCTGCCCGTCAGGAAGTTCAGGATCCAGTCACAGAGGGCGMTGTTGAGCCCGAGGTCSCTSAGCTTGATGACGAGCTTGGAGGGCACAATAGTGTTGAATGCTGAACTGTAGTCAATGAACAGCMTCCTCACATACGTGTTCCTCTGGTCCAGGTGGGAGAGGGCAGTGTGGAGGGTGAGGGGGATGGCGTCGGCTGTGGACCTGTTCTCCCTGTAAGCAAACTGCAGGGGGTCCAGGGACTTGGGGAGGGAGGAGGTGATGAACTGTTTGACTAACCGCTCAAAGCACTTCATGATGATGGGGGTGAGTGCAACTGGGCGGTAGTCGTTGAGGCAGATGGTTTTTGTCTTTTTAGGGACTGGAATGATGGTGGACTCTTTGARACAAGTGGGGACTATAGACTGGAGCAGTGACTTGTTGAAGATGTCTGTGAACACCTCTGCCAGCTGAACTGCACACACCTTGAGAGCACGGCCAGGGATGCCGTCAGGCGCAGGAGCCCTATGTGTGTTGATCTTTTTTAGGGATCTGCACTGGTTAGAACCAGGGGGCAGGGGCAGGGATCCTGAGCCTTCTGTACCTCCACAGCCGGGGGTCTCTCAAAGCGTACATAAAATGTGTTCAGTTCATCTGGGAGAGATGCACACACTTCCTCGGCACCACTTGTTGTTCTTTTATAGTCTGTTATAGTTTTTAGTCCAGACCACATGTTTCTAGCGTTGGAGCCCTTGTAGTCAGACTCCACTTTGCTCTTATATTGTCTTTTAGCACTGCTAATAGCTCTCCGGAGCGCATACCTGGAGTTCCTGTTTTCATCCAAATCACCGGCGCTGTGCGCGACAGCCCGAGCTTTGAGTTTGGCTCGGACCTCGCCATTTATCCAGGGCTTCTGATTTGGGAATGTTCGTACAGTAATCCGCGGCACGACGTCATTGATGCATTTGCTAGTAATCCGCGATGGGTCAACCACATGTATGTGGATAAACCACATACACATATAGACCCCCCCAAAAAACTAGTTCGTCGAGACCTCTCTCAAGAGTTTTTACACCAAATGCACATGGAGGTTATAGCACATTTAGGATATTAAAGGTTCAGTGTGTAGAATTTAGTGACATCTAGTGGTGAAGTTGTATGTTGCAGCTGAATGCCCCACCCCTCACCCTCCATTTCCAAACATGACAGAGAACCATGTGTTAGCCTTCGGTTGACATTAAACTCAAAAGGTGTTTAGTTTTTCCAGTCTGGGCTAGTGTAAAAACCATAGCGGCCTCCATAGAGAGGACCACTCCTGATGTAAATATAAAATATTTAGATATAAAAGGCTTTTCTAGGTTAAAGAAAACAACAATTCGTACAGTTTAGATGAAGCACCTAGTTAAAACATTACTAGGATTATTTCATGTTCAATTTCGGTAAATAGATCCTTTCACCTAAATCTTACACACTGGATCTTTAAGGAGGAATGTCTTTTTTGTGCCAAACAGTCACGTTGCTAAACACTGGATGTTAAAATGCACTTATAGTCAGAACATCAACATTTATTTATTTTTTGTTCTCCACATAACAGCTGTTGGTCTTTACAGTGGCTAGAACCTTGATGTCACTAGATCTGATCCCAGGCTTCCGAATCAAAGATGAGGCTGCAATGAAGTCAGCCTGCATTGGAACAATGTAACTGCAAACAATGTGTGGGGACCATAGACTGTATATAAAGAGGAGGGGACAGGTATTAAAACGCAGTGAAAGATGCAGAGTAGCAGTAACGGTTCATCAAATATGTCTAGTAAAACAAAGTGAGAACTGTTACGTTCTGCACAGTTAAATTTTATGGTTGAAAGTAAAAGACCTCCTTAACCACTCAAAAGAGAGATAATTCACATTACCAGTAGCAACACACACTATAGTACTGTAATCTACTTTAACCTGGTTTTAACCATGGACTGTAAAGGTGGAGCATGTGTTCACTTCTTCCCATTCTCCAGAAATGAAGCTAAGATATCCTCGATATGAACACTGCCATCTTGTGCCAATTGTGTAATTTGTAATTTGTCCGATAATGCAGCCAGCCACCAGGGGGTGATCAATATGCTTCGGTATAATTTTTGGGGAGCCATGATGATGTCCATCTTTAAATACACTAAATGGGTCACAAATAATGCAGTCCCATTGCATGATGGGAAATGTAGGATCCAGTGGTTTGAGACATTAAAAAAATCTGACTCTTGGCCTCTAGTGTATTTCAAATTAAAATGTTGGAACAGTCCTTAAAATGTGTATTTTATTTTCTCTCCATTTATTGAGGGGATGGGTTGTTTTTATTTTTGAGTGTCCCATGATGGAGAGGTTCTACAGGGATTCAATTTGCACATACGGCTGCAGTGATCACTGTTGGAACCCACAGACACATGTAGGGGTAATAAGAGAGAAAGTGGGAATTATAAGGATACCTACTTATGTGAGATTCACCTTCCCGTGTCTGACCAAGTCCTCTTCTTTCTGTTTCCATCTCAGCATGTTCATACTCGATATGTTATGGAGAAAGGCTTTTTACTCCTTGAAGTCTACAAAAAGAAATAAAACAAAGATACCAGCTGTGTTAGTTGGACTGAAAGTGGAGCTTTATCCACAAGGCTA